CACCCGGCAATCCTGCTCCCGGTGTTTCTGAGCTGGGGATTGGATATCTTGTCTTCACGGGGAGGGTGTGAGTAGTTGGGGAGACAGGGATTATTGTGGTCTTACACATTAGTAGATGGTCCTGTATTCCTTTATTTTTTTGGTATTTCAGAATTTCTCTATCAACCCAGCTGCCAGTCTCAGCCTTTGTCAGGTTTTTGCAAGGTTGCTGCCCATCTCTGTGCCCACTACCTCTGGCCTGATGCTCCCATACAGAAGTGGGTCAGGAAATGAACAGCTGCAACCAATGGATCAGCAAGGAGCCTGGTGGCCAGCTGGGGAGTCTACCTGTGCCACAAACCCTTTCAAAAGCTAAACTAAACAAACCTGGGCATTCAGGAGCTAGTTTTTCCCTTCATAGCTTGAGAATTACCTAGGAAAAAGGAGGGCTCCTCCTCACACAGCTCCATGGGGGACTGTCCCTGGAAAAACTCAGGGCACCAGTCGGCAGCCAGAGCTGTACACTGGAATCAGTTGGGTTTGGGGTCCCACGCACCCTCTCCCCCAAGATTCTGATCCTAGGATGGTGTTGGGGCATCAGAATCCTCTGCAGTTCTCCAAGGTCAAACCCCTGGGTCAGAGTCACGGGAGGCGTGGGAGTTTCATCCTGACTTCCTGTGGCTGTTGAGCAATTACACCGAAATGTCTGTCATGGCTGACAATAGATTTGCACTTCTCCGGAGTGTGTGAGCATGCAGAACGGGCCCCAGATGCTATACCAGGAAATGGACACTTGGTGTGCAGAGGGGTGTGTGTTTCGATACCAGTTTAGCAACCTGATCAGAGCCCTGAAGCGCATCCAAACACCAGAGGGGTCTACTTTATTCTTCCAGAAGGTTCCAAGAATCTGCTTCTTCTGACTAAGCCACCAGCGGAGGGACCTACAAGCCCTGAGCACCGATACTTTGAATTCATACAGGAGCTTGAGGAAGAACCAAGCCAGCTTTTGTTAGAGTAGACATGCCAAGGGCAAAACAACGGAGCCCACAGACCAGTTAGTCCTATCAGACTTGTGGCAGAGGTGTGGCAAAGCTGCAGGCTGCCAAGGGGAATGGGAAAAAATAAGAACCAAGATACACAATGTAAAGGTACACGTTCCCAATGATGAATGTAACTGTAATGTATACCTAAAATGTACCAATAAACTTAATGGAAAAAAAAAAAAAAGCTGCAGACTGCCAGCCTCCCAGGCCCTCATGGGGCCTTTAGGCTGCAAGTTGCCTGTCCTCCAATTATGGACTTTCAGAAAGTCCTTTTAGTCACTCTGAGGCCTTTTGTCTACAATTAAATGTAGAAAGTCCTTTCTGTTCCACTTACACTTACAAATTAGGTAGGTGATGTTTTCTTAATAGTTCTGTTGATTTTGGTTCCCCAGACTCTCAGGTGACAAATTTTCACTGAATTTGGGAGGCCCTCCTTTTAAATTCTGTTCCAATATAAGCAAACGTCTGTAACCTGCAGTCCTTAGCATTAGCAGGTTGTAACTAACTCCTTACAAATTAGCAGGTTGATTTTGTAAATCTACAACTGGTATTGACTCTTGGGGAAGAATAAAGGAAAGAGCACCCCCCCACACACACATCGGCTTCCTTCTTTGATAAATAGTAAAGAGAAAAGGTTTGGATCTCCTTTAGGACTCAAAAGAGTCTCATTGAAACTAGAGACATTTATAGCTAAATGGATGCATATTGAGGCCATCCTCTTAAGTGAAATAAATAGCACACACATGTGTAAATACCGAATAGTTTCTCTAGTGTGAGAAACTGAAAGTGTAAATAAGGATGAAAATGATTAAAATGAATAATTGATAATTTGAAATAAGAAAAGGTCCAAGAGTTTGGGGATGGCGGGAAGGGAGGGGGAAAAGGAAGAAGGGAAAGGAAAAACTATGAGAAAAAAAAAATGGAATCAAACTCTGTGTAAATAGGGAAGGGTGGAGGGGGTGAAGGGTGCACAGGTAATGGGAGAAAAAATAAGAACTAAGATACATCATGTTCTGGTACAAACACCCAATGATAAATGTAAATGTATTTTATACCTAAAATGTACCAATAAATAAATATATATATATAAAAACAAAAAAACCCCAAAAGAGTCTCATTCATAAGTGTCCCCATGGCTTGGCAGAGGGCCTGGTACAAAATAGGCACCAGATAAGTCTTTGCTAAATAAATGTTCTGTACAGTTGTGTATTTACTATGTATTTGGCCCCCAATATTGGTGCTCTGCATCCTGAGAGCTGTTCCCATCAATATTTTATTTAAACTGAAAACTACTAAATAGATTGTTGGTGGAATTTTCTTTTTTTTTTTTTGTATCAGGGATTGAACTCAGGACCTTGTGCTTGCAAGGCAGGTGGCAGCACCACTGAGGTAAATCCCCGGCCCTGGTGGAATTGATTTTAAAGAACACCATGGGACAGGCAGAGGCTGTATCAGGTATCCTTTAGAGGCAATTATTTTAATGCCTGGTCTCTGGTTCTGAGCTGTTATGGGCATTTGGTAAATATAAATAAATGAGCTGGCGCTAAATTGAGAAGGTGCTGGGAAAGAGACCTAGTAAAAATCTGAATAGTGCTCTCCTGAGAGCAAAACGACTTTGACCTTGTGGTGGAGAACCTAGTTCAGCCAGATGGCACAATGAAGGCTTCCCTCTGCTCAAGCAGCCCTGGCAAGTCAGTCTGTGTCTGCTCTGGGGAAAGCACCTTATAAGCCCTGAGGAGGACACAGAAGTGACTCAGATACAGACGTTGCAGGGAACATGGAGCCTGGGCTCTGGAATCTGTGTGTGGCTGTCAGCTTCAGAGTCTGAGCCTGGTTCTTTTTAGTTGTTTTTGTTTGTTTGTTTTGAGACAGGGTCTCCCTATGTAGCCCAGGCTGACCTTGAACTCACAGCAATCCTCTTGCTTCAAACTCCGAATGCTAGGATTACAGGCGTTAGCCACCATTTCTGGCCTGAGCCCAGTTCTTCATCTGTATAGTCAAGATCAAAATAGCACCTACGTAAGTGTGAGGATTAAATGAGATGATGTAAGGAAAACACAGTGTATACAACAGGGAGCAGAGTGACACATTATGTGTTTATAAGTTTCCAGTGAGTTATGTATTTATACAGGTAATATTCAGAGGGTGATTTGAAGAAGTGATAGGATGGCAATGACCTTGTAGTTTTCTAAATGTTTAAATTGTATTTTATATTGCAATTTAGATCTACTGCAGTGTTTTTATTTTTATTTTTTCTTGAGGCAGGGTGTCACTATGTAGTTCAGGCTGACCTTGAACTCACTATGTAGCCTAGGCTAGCCTTGAAATCGAAGCAATCCTCCTGGCTCAGCCTCCCAAGTGCTAGGATTATAGGCATGCACCACCACACTGCAGTATTTTTAAAAGAAAACACAAACAGATCAATGGATAGGAGAAAAGAGGTCAAGATGGGAGTGAAGGGGGAGGATACATTGGAGAGATATTTGGACTAGGATAATAAAAAGAATTAGGAAAAGAGTGTTTAAACTGAAACTATATTTCCTTTATAAACCATTTGTTGAAAAATATTACAAGGGCCCTTTTTGAAGTCAAAATCTTGAACCCGTTCAATACAGCCTCATTATTATCTGGCTAAGGAAGCTTCTTAAATAAGGGGAAACAGACCAAATGTTTACAGATAGCAGTCGGCTTAGTGTGTATTCCTTATTTGAAGTATGATTTAGCACCAGAAAGTTCCCGTGCTTAAAAATAGCTCTTGATTTACAAAATTACAATAACAAATTGCACTTTTAAGACACAGTAACTTTTCTTAAAATCTACAGCTACAACAGAAGGGTTTGGCTTGGATTGGGAAGTGAAGGTGGGTTTATAAAAAGTATAAGTTCTGTAAAGAAAAGTAGCCTGGAGCTGGGGATTTAGCTCAGTGGCGCTGCACCTGCCTCACAAGCACAAGATCCTGAGTTCGATCCTCGGTAGCCTGGTGTGTACACACACACACACACACACACACACACACGAGTATAAAGTGATAGGATTCATTCTGGACCCTAGAATTTCGTTCAGAGAAATTAATGTTCACTTTAAAACATTCACTTTGGGTTTCTTACACATTTACCACAAATTTGTCCTTTTCCCTTTCTCTGCATGTTGCTGGCATAATTAACTGAATATTTTCTTTCTTACAAATGACCCCGAAAAAGTAATCTGGGAGCAGCTCATTCTCTCATCCAATTTATTGTGCATTTGCAATGTTCGAGGAGCAGTCATCAGAAAAATAAAACCTTGGCGGACCCTCGAGGGTGTGTCGGGGACGAGCGGAGATCGACAGTCGCGAGCAACCACGACATGACCAGTTAAAGGGCTCTGGGGGGGATCTGGGGGCGGCGGGCGGACCGGGCACGGGCCGCGGCGGGCAGGAGGAGGCCGGCCCGGGGCGAGTCTGCGGGAACCAGCTGCCTGGACCAGACGGTTGTTACGCGACCCGAGAACCGAACTCGCCCGGGTAGTTTCCCCTCTCCCCGCGAACCCCAGGTCCGGGTCCACCGGCCTCGCCTCCTGGAAGAGTCCAGAGCTGGCGGTGGAGTCGCAGCAGGCTCTGCCAACTTGCTCCTCCCGAAGGCTTTCAGACCCTCTGCAACAACCGCCCAGCCCGGGCGCCCGCCTGCCCCGGCAACAGGCGGTGGCCCCCTCCTCATTGGCCGGACGCGCGCTGTCGTACTCTGACTGGCTGCGCAGCCGCCCGGGCCCGCCCGCGCTCACCACCTCCTCCATTTTGTCGGTAGAGGTAGAAGGAGGTCTGGCCGGAGACGCGAGGGTGAACTGAAGCTGCGTCGTCGGTGCTCCTGGGCTTTGTTCGATCTGTGCCTCGTCACTCCCTGGAAAGGGAGGGAGGCTTCGACGTCGAGAGGGAGCTGCCGCCGCAGTCCAAGCCGAAGTCGGTGAGTGGCCGCAGCTCGGCCATGTTGGCGGCCGCTTCCTATTGTTAGGAAGGCGGCGGGCGAGGAGCCGAGAGCCCGCGCGGCGGCGGGTCTCGGGTCGGCGACGGGAACGGGCGCGGGCGCCAGCTCCAGGCCTCGGCGGCCGCGGGCTCAACCTGTGATAATTCAGGTCTGAACTCGCTGTTTAGATTACTAACACTCCGGAAGGCCTTGTACCTACCCTGGTGGAAGGAAGGGGCTTACTCTTCGTCGGTCACTTGCTTTCTCGGAACATCAAACGAAAACGAAGCCTGACCGTCGCTTTAGGGAGGCGTTCTCATACACGGTTACGATGACTTGTGAAACTTGAGTTATGGGGAGACAGAACCGAAGGAAGCACTCTCCACGATGGGAGACGCGGCTTTGTGGAAACGTAAAGATCGGAAAATTATGATGGAACTTTAAAAGCATGGTCTCTTTAGAAAGTAAATTTTAAGCCAGTTTCTTGGTTTTAGCTGGAAAAGCGAAAGCTTAGCATTTTGGTTACGAAGTGATTTCTGAAAGATGTTTTCCAGGAAAAAGGTAAGTTGGTGGGACTTGTAGGTACTCTGAAAAAAATTCCCTAGAAGCCTGAGTTTAGATGGCATTTATGAGGTCAAAGCCAGCCACCTTCACCTTGTTTTATAGGAATTTTTATGTTCAGGAGTAGCCATTTTTTTACTGCAGCTATTTCTGTAGTAAATGTAAATGAACACTTTCTCCTGTGTTTTTGAATTGATCAAGTAATCTTTGCTTTTCCAGCTAAGACTTCTCTCAGACTTGAGCGCTGAGGACACTCAGATGTTGGCTTCAGCTCCTAGGCTGGACTCGGCAGATCGGCCCATGAAAACTTCTGCATTGAGACAAAGGAAAGGATCCACCAGAAAGCAACACCTATTATCTTGGGCTTGGCAGCAAGGAAGAAAAGTACTGGAAATACTGCAATCTGAAAAGCAGACTGAAAGGTATAAACTTGGATCAAAATGGGTTATTTTATGATGGACCTATTCATTAATTCATTCATTCACAGGGTCTCACTATGTAGTTTTTGAAGTCACTATGTAGCCCAGGCTGATCTCCTCAAACTCACGGTGAACCTCCTGCTTCAGCCTCCCAAATGCTGGGATTACAGGCATGCACTAAGCCATTTGTTTTTAAAAAGGCCTAATTCAGATTTGTGGTCAGCTTTTTCTTAGGAAGAGTAATAAATACAGGCTGTGCATATAATGCAAGCTCTAATTCTGAGTTAAAGCATCTATGAACAGTCCATTGTTTGGAATCTTACCAGGACTTCTGGAATTCGAAATTGGAGCTGTAAAACCTTTAAAGGAACTTCTGAACTTTCCTTATGGGAACTTAATCATTTTCATCTACTTAACAGGTGACAAAGAAGCTGAAGATGGGTGGTGGAGAGAGGTATAACATTCCAGCCCCTCAATCCAGAAATGTTACTAAGAACCAACAACAGCTTAACAGACAGAAAACCAAGGATCAGAATTCCCAGATGAAGATTGTTCATAAGAAAAAAGAAAGAGGACATGTTTATAACTCGTCAGCAGCTGCACGGCAGGCCATGCAGAATGGGGGGAAGAACAAGAATTTTCCAAATAATCCAAATTGGAACTCTAGTTTATCAAGTCCCAGCTTGCTTTTTAAGTCTCAAGCTAGTCAGAACTATGCTGGAGCCAAATTTAGTGAGCCACCATCACCAAGTGTGCTTCCCAAACCACCGAGCCACTGGGTTACTGTTTCCTTTAACCCTTCAGATAAGGAAATAATGACATTTCAACTTAAAACCTTACTTAAAGTACAGGTGTAAAGATGTTCAAATTTAGTTATATTTACAAATAGTTGTCAATTGCTATGAAAGAAATTCGTGAGAGAATCTATATGTAAAACTGATAATGTAAAATTATAATCAGACTTCATCTCATTGGTGTGTTGTGTGCACTGTGATGTAATGGCAGTATCAGTGCAACTTAAAATAATTGTACTTGATGTTCTCAATTAGGTAACTTAAGTGAAATGACTTAGATTTGATAAATCAACTTTTTTATTATTTAGTGGGAAAAATAATTTAAGGTTCATGGGTCAGACTTACTTGAAGTGATTCAAATTATAAGCATCTAGCTGACACAAAGCTGGAAAACCAGGCAGACATCTGAAAGTTTGTCTTAGGAATACCCAAACCAGTAACATGCCAACAACCTAATGCACTGCCACTGCCAAAAGAAAATGTGAATTTTCTTAAATCGCTGCATTTCACTAAATTGTAGCGATAAATGTGTAAAGGGCACTTGGGACTTACTAGAATGAGGTACAAATACTCTGGCGGCCCTTTAAAAAAAAAAACGTGAACTGGCATCTGTCAGGTGTACCAGAACTTTTTGTAGCTTTCCAAGTACATTTTTGTATTGCAACACCACACAAAGCTGACAGTGATTTGGCCTCATCCCTGCAAAGCTTAAAGTAGAGAGTGATATGTGAAAAATTTACCTACCAAAAAAGAGCCATGTAAATACATGTAATAAGCTTGTAGCATATGTAAAGTTTTCTTGGCTTTTATCCTACAAAAAATATTTTAGTATGAATTTGCTGAATGTAAAACCATGGACTGTTATACTATGGCCTAATTTTAGAGGTCCACAATTGTTTTTAAAGTTTGCCCTTGTGCTAAAGTGCCAGTGTATGTATAACTTGATTTGGTTGTAAACTGTATTATCAAAGTAAATCCTAGTGTAATATGTTTTATATTACAACTAAAAAGGTATAAGCTGCTAAAATATTTCTATTTTTAAGAGATGAAAAGTGCAGTACAGGATTCCTTCACTACCCAGTGTTTAAACCCAAAGATTAATTTTGGCTTTCACCACAAAGTGTTGCCATTGATTTTTGGTCATATCAATCCAAGGAACCACTCATGCAAAAGATTTCTCTTGCATAACATCCAACCCAAAATCCAAAATATTAAGTTAATTTAGTAGTAAGGAAAAATATCGATTGCTAATGCCCTATTTTCTAAACAGAAAAGCAAAGTTGTGGTTCTCCAGATTTGGATGAAACAATATTGTCCAAATGAAACACTATTCTAAAGTTTATGTAGTACTTAAATGTGTATATGAATTTGAAACATGGAATTAAAAATTTTTTTTCTCCCCAATAGCTTGTTTTTTATTTTAAAAACTCACAACTGCCTAATCTTTATTCTTACAGTGTACATAATGAACTGAAATTTGATAGGCTTGTTGGTTTGAAGAGAAGCCACTGGCTTGCTGTTTGGTTGTTTTGGTTTTATATACAGCTATGCAGTTAACTCAAGACTTTCCTGGCAGTGTGAACAGTAGTAGAAAGGCCACACAATACTAGCAAAATTTCACAAAGCTCTTGAAGGTCAAAGTGAGTAAAATGAGTGATTAAATTTATATTCTAAGATTGTTTAAATTTATAAAAAATTTAAAAAATAAATTATAAAAAACAGCCCAAGAACTCAAATTGCGTCAAGTGTGGTAGGGTCACACCCACAATCCTAGCACTGCAGAGGCTGAGGCAGGGGGATAGCTGCGACTTTTGTGACCAGCCTTGGGCTACATAGACTCTCTCAAAAATGAAAAGGAACTCAAATTGGGAACTCTTGTGTTTTAGATATAATTCACACAAGGGGGATCTCTGTAAGGGAAGCTTATCACACGCTTGCCTTCTAGCCAATAGCTTCCAAATGTTATGATGGCTTAAGCTTAAACCTGGTTGAGTAATACTAAGTAGTCCCATGCCAAAGCTATAATTTTTCATCCAAACAGTAGGGAATAAATTCAAAGGTAAAACGAAACTATTATTTGGGTCTTTTTTCTTTTATTCCCAGGACAGTCTCATGAATAAAGCTAGGGATTGCTAAATTCTCCACTGAAATTTCACTGGATTGAGCAATTTAGTTTTTATCTATACAATGAAGCACACTATTTTTGGATGGGCTCAAGCCAAACTGCTAATGAAAGTACTGAAAGAATGAAGGTCAGAAATAGAAAAGGCTTCTAATTAACCATAAAAATTTTCATAGCTTAATGGTAAGGTCAAAGGTCATATGAACATCTCTCATGGACATACACTGATAAAGTTGTGATTAGCTTTCCAAAGTATAGTAACAAATTTCAAAAACCAATGCCTTTTGAAAACCAAAAAAGTACAGTAGGTAGATAGAATTTGTTGTGTAGCAGCTTTCAGTAAATACTTGATTCCCCCCCCCCCCCACGTGTTGAGGACTGAACCCAGGTCCTTGCACAAGATAGGCAAGCATTCTATTCCTGAGCTACACCTCCTGCCCTCATCTGTTTGGTGGTGGTGTATCATACGATGGAGTCAAGGTCCATTATCTATCTCTCAAACAGACTTTGGACAAGTCTGAAAAAGTCCCTCAGTGTTTTAGTCGCATTCTTATTCTTACTTTAAATCAGAGGGGCAGACAGAATCTAAAACTTACACAAATAAAAAGTCTACTGGGATAGTTACATATTTGTAAGGTAGAGCAAAATTTAAAAAGCAAAAACAAAAAAACCCCAAGATTTTTTGGCTCCTAGACCAGTTTATTTCACTTGCCAGCATTCAAAGAAATGGGATCTGCAAAAAACTAAATACAAAGGCCTTTTACGTCTTTACAAACTGTCAATTATCAATGAAATGAATTTACATGCCTCATTTTTTATTCCAAAAAAATCTCCATCTTTAACACAATGATGAAATGGCTTTACAAATATACAAATATAAAAATAACCAACACTGTTAAGATGAGGCAGAGGAAAAGACCCAAGAGGAGCCCTTTCCATAATGACTACCAGAATGTCTTGTAGGCAGCAATAGCTGCTGAAAATAGATTATTTACCTCACCTATTTATCAAGCCATCAACTATTGAACAAAAGCATTTCACTCCTGGAATTCCCAAAAGCCCAATGATCCTATTAATAGAATGTCATTAGATTATTCCAAACTACTGCTAAAGTCACAGCCTTCTCAATCTCAGGACATTCTAATAGGCACATGGTCAAGTCTTTAAAAGATTAAAATTTGGAAAGCTCTGAGCCACAACAGCCTGTGATCTTGGGTTAGACTTAATGTCTTTCTCATGCAGAAAAGTTACCCATTATGTTACAAGTTGAGAAATGAAATAGTGTATGCAAAAAAAAAAAATGACAACTTTCTCATCTGTACAACAGAAATAGCATCCATTTCTCAAGTATTTTTAGCATTAAATGGGAATATCTGCAAAGTACATGGCTTGGCACATTAAGTGCTTAATAACATGGACAGCCTTCAATATATAAGGTAACAACCACAGAAGATAACACTGAAGCAATCCACTGTATTTTGACAGTTGCCAAAACCACAACGGCCTTTTCTGATTCATCACATTTATAACTTTAGAGATCAATTATTGTTAATTGCATTTATAAATGAACAAAATACTTTCCAGCAAGAAATAAAGTCAACAGGTTAGGAAACAAACTAATACCATATGTATTCACCAATTTTTAAAAAAGAAAATCTGAACCAAACAGGCAATTTAATTCCCCCTGAAATGTTTTAACCTCAGTTCAACAGGAAATGGAAAAGGGAGATACAGGACCAAATATGTGTGAACTACAAAGGTATTGTTTCAAAAAATACACAACCCCTACCAGTAAAAGCTACCAATTCAATGCTAATGATCTTGTGAAAGTATAAGATACATTTTGTAACTGACTCCACAATCTGCTCCACGTATTCTAGATTCCATTATATCAACTTTATTATCTCCATGAAAATAAAGCTACTTTCCAACTCAATTGAAAAACAAAACAAAAGTGAATCAGAATTTGTGCACTCTAACCTAGTATTTGCCACTTGTATGACCTTGGGCAGTTAGAAAAAAATTTTTTTAAATGAGAATAACAGTATCTCCATTTTATGCCTTCCTTCAGTTATGTACATTCTACTACACTTTTGAAATTATTATAAATTAAAAGACTTAAGCTCTATTTCCAGATTTTAGATAATTTTACACAGTTTTAAGTATGTGGGAGAAATGTAACAAAAGTCAAATGAGATGGAATCATAGTGTGATAAACCTCATATCCTAATAAGGAACTAATGAACCCAGAACATTTTGTAACACACTATAAAAATTATTTATTCACTATACACAGAACATGTCCCCTATAAAATGTACATGTAAATCACTAAAAAGTATAATCTGGCAAAATTTTCTCACTTACAGAACATACTAAATCAGATGGGATAATAGTTGTCTTCTCCAAAACAATCTAATCATAGCACCCAGGGTCTCCTAAATAATGCAAAGTTAAATACTTAATTTTGGGGATTTTTTTTTTCTCTATTATGTGTGTGATTGAGGCAGAGTTAATAATTAATATAACTCTAGTATATTACAGTCACAGCACAGTAAATCAATTTATTATAGATTAAAACATTTTTTTCATTATTTGTATTAATGGGATGCAAACAAAATACTGGACATTTTTTTAAAGGGCAGGTAACCATAAAATTAGTTATCTTTGATAGCATACTGGGTTGATAATTACATTATGAGTGGTACAAAATATTGTGTAATACACCTCAAAACAATAAGGCCATATCACGATTCATTAGATTGTGCTCAGCATTCACTGAATAAAGGAAATATTATCTGTTCTCCTCAGTTATTCAGTACAATGGTTTGCCCATAGTAAAAGCTCAGTAAGTATTTGCTGACATACTGACTAGGAAAGAAGTGAGAAGAGATGGGTCCTCTCAGCGGGATGTCAAGTATAATTGGAATATACCTGGGAAGGTGAGTGATTAAAGATGATGTAAACTGCATGTGGTGTACAATAAACTCAGATGCCAACAAAGCAAACAATTAAGCAGAAAACACTGGCACCATACTAAACAAAGGCAAGATTTGCCAATAATGGCATAAATGGAAATTACTTAAGAATTAACCAAGAAAAAATTTACATTGGATCATACCTATTCCCACCCAATTCAGTTTAAGACAGACCATCAGAGGCACTGTAAGAGACTATGGCTGTCTTCCTTGATACTCAAGACATCCTAGTTTTCAATAATTTATTATGGACCTGTTACCCATGAATCAATATAAACCTGTTCATATTTAGGGATTAGTTTCCACAAGTACAAAGTTGAATTTCCTTTTATTTGTCCTAAAATGCTTACTTTCAAACTTGAAGGGACTTCAATTATTCCATGTAGTTTTCGATAATTCTTTTATCTTTTCATACCAGTCAAAATATTCGTACAGTATTCATACTGCAGCACCTTCCACCCACCCTTTGGTCGCTTGAACTGCCCTTCTTTGGTTCTTTTTCCGCTTTCAGATCTTTCTTGAAGTGTAGTAAGCAGAACTGTACTGGGTATTCCAGCTGCAGTTTGGTCTTAAATAAAAGAAGGATGTTTGTCAGTTTGGTTTTCTTTATTCTTCTTTGTGGTATACAGGATTTTGTTAGTTGAACTGGATGTAGCAGCTTACTGGGCCAATTTTTCAAGAGAATAGTACAGTAGTTCCCAGGTCTTTTCCCTAGGTTGTTACTTAATCAGCCCACACACTATGTAGCACCTTTCCTTTCTCACTGAAGCATTATCTCTCACTTTTCTTCTTGCTTACTTGGCTTAAAAAAAAAAATGCAGAGAGATCTTAAGTAAAAGGAGAGGTGAAGTGTCAGCCCTCAGTTGAGTGTTGATGACAAGAAAACAGTATTAAGCCCAGTGCCAGACACACAATAGGCACTCAATAGTTGTGGAACTCAACAATCCAAAATTAGCTTAAAACATCGTGTAAAGGTCCTAAGTATCAGTAGGCTCCTATCGTGAACTCATAAAGCCCCTGTGAAGCTCCATTAAATATTATCATTTTAGAAACAATGTTTCTCAAGAAAAATAATCTGAGCTTAAAAATAAACTGACAAAGATATAAAAATGAAAATGTGAGCCCTTCTAGATGTATACAGAGACTGAGAATAATTTCATTGGGCTATCTCCTCAATCTATTTTTTTCAAATTATAGTCTGCTTGATAAAAAAAAAAATCTTAAGAACCAGACCCAGGCTCAAATCCTGACAGCAACTTACATAGCCTTTTCATTGTGCCCCACTTTCTTTGTGATACAGGGAAAATAAAAGTATCTTTTCTCACAGGGTTTGTGAAGAGTGAATGAGTTAACACACAGCTCCTGAACAGTGTCTGGCACATCATACTTAATAAGTTACCAGCTATAATCATCATTATAAAGTAGCTAGAATCCAATCAACAAAACACCCAAATCATTTCCCCAAAGTGGTTATCACTTAATAAATGCTCACCAACATTCAATGAAAAAGAATTTTAAATCATGTCATAAAGTCTAATATATCTTGTTTAGGAAGGGAGAGAATTATTGATCCATCCAATAATGAAAAGTATAAATTTATAATTAGCTGACCGATATATCAATGCAGATTTCTGGCCAAGTTTTGTCATTTCCAAAGTATATTAGTTATGCCTAATCCAGCAATGATTTAAAAATATCCCTAAATCTATAAAAGACTGTTTTCAATACTATAATAATTCCAGTTAATCATCATTTCCTTCATTTTGTTTTTATTATAGCATGTTTGCTTAATTTACAGCAAGCAGAAAATAAGCTGGGTCTTGTTTTGATCCAAACATTGATGTTTTAAAGGTTGTACACAATATTTGTTAAAAAGAACATATAAAAATACCTTTTTAGAAGCTTCTATAAGAAAGAAAATACAAAGTTTAACCCCACAACTTTCCTCTTTGCTAGAACTGCAACTACTGCTACAGTTTTAAATAGACTTTTTGTTGTTTAAACTATACATCCAGGAAAATCTAAAAAAATTAAAGAAACGTGCATATAAATGATTGCATAGCAGAACATGAACATTAACTGCAAACAGTAAAGAAATGAAAGTTAGAAATACTATCAAATATACAATGGTTCTAGAATCAATCCTTTAAACACATTCCACAACAGTATTTTAAAACCATCTTTTTATCCTTACAGGCAAGGGCTAGATTTCTAAAACCAAAATTGAAAAAAAAATTCTCTAAAAGGAATCATTTCCCTACAATATTTCCTGTATCTGCAAGCAAGCATTCTGAGATTTTAAAAGATGCTAGCTTTTATTTTAAAATGAGACTGGACATTTCGAGTCATTTTTTATTGCCTTCAAACGATCTTTCAGAGATACTAGAAATTATAAATAGTTGAGGGTATTAATTCCTCATTTTTAGTCAAGTACTACAATGATAGTCAAAAACTCAAGAGATGTGGCTCTTCCTTAAACTAATCCTGTTTTCCAAAATTATTTAAAATTTCATGGCACCACAGAATCACCTAGGATGGGAGTGTTGCAATTCAACTTGCCTCATAGTAAATAAACTGAAATGTGAACAGCAAGCCTCCCTCATAAACAAGTAGTCAAATTTTGATACAAATGCACATGCTGTGCTGTATCAAAATTCAGTTCTTTTACCCTATATATACACACAAACAAAACTTACACTGAAACAATTTGCTTCTAACAGCAGTAAGAAAACTAAGCAACAATGGTCAACACCGCTCCTTACATTTTAGAATAACTACTAAGAACATACTTTCCTCCTTAAAATTATTTCTGCCATCATTGACCTGCTCAAATTTTCAGGGGAGCTTTTCTGATGTGATTATGTTCCAAATATTCACAGCAACCAGAAAAAAAGCATCACTGCCCAAGACAGTGGAGTTAACTACTCCATATCGCATCATAAATGAGCTATGATCTGGGCCTACCCACCTTGAAAGACATAAAGGTCCACCCTGAACCTAAATGTTTCTGAGCAGTCAGTGTTGTACTGTGGCTACAACTTCACTTTTGTATCATTCTATCTATTAGCAAACTACATTTCTAGGTTAACAGTTCTACCAAATATGGATATGAAAGTTTATTTTTAATAAGACAATGTTGCAAATTATGGTCAACCAACATCTTTTCACCAAATACTTCAAGCATAAAAAATGAGAATCTTTACAAAAATATACAGAGACACCACATATTGGTAGCTGCCCATAACATTAAACAAACTGGACTCTTAAGAGTGTCTTCTCAACAGCATATCATTTTAATTATAACCATTGCCTGGTACAGGGAAAACTAACAAGTGTTTTTACGCATCATTGCAACATTGTAATCCTGATAATTTAAGTATACCAAACTATGAGTAAATGAATGATACATGCCTAAAAATTATCATGGTTTATACTATCAGTGGCCACTGGACTTAGGACTAGTCCAAGACCTTGATCTAGATTTTGACCTAGACCTAGACTGTGATCTTGACTGAGAGGATTTGGATCTAGGTGGTTCTTTTTTCCTTGATTCCTTTTCATATCTTGAGCCAGACTTATAATGTGTTTTGGAATCTGTTTTAGAGGTGCCTCTAGTTTTGGTGTGAGATGCAGACCTAGAACGTGATTTAGCCTTCATTTCTTTCTTGGGCTGGGACTTGGACCGTGATCTTGAATTGGATTTAGATCTTGAAAAAGATCGATTTCGGTGTTTGAATCTTTTAAAACAGAGGAGAGATATAATTAGAGTAAAAATTAGATTCTATATTAATCAAATTTGTATTTTTAGAGCAAAAGTTCACTCTGAAATTGAAAAACATGAGTCTTTTTCAAAGCAAAAGTTATTTACCTATCATTGTCGGAATGGCTTCTGCTACGCCGCGGTCTTCCAGTCGGTCTACTGCTAAAAAGTATACCAGAAAAAGCAAACAGTGACAAATGTCTATAGTATCTTAAATTAAAACAAAACACAAAAATATTTTCAGTCTCAACAAAGCATTATATACACACACACATACATTTTTGTAATTAAAAGTATACAAAAAGGTCAAGGTGGGGGGAGAGATAACAAACATCTTTTTTATTTTCATTTTTTTGGTACCGGGGATCGAACTCAGGACCTTGCGCTTGCGGGGCAGGTGGCAGCACCACCAAGCTAAATCCCCGGCACATCTTTTTTATTTTTGATACAAGGTGTCACTATGTGGCCCAGGCTAGCCTCAGCCTCCCAAATGCCTGGGACTACAGGCACACACCACACCTGGCTACAAAGACCACTTTTTTTTTTAAGTAGACCATCGTCACACTTACTTTCTAGGACTATAAGATCTTCTATAGTTGTAATCAAAAGACCGACTTCTTGATCTCCTCCTTTCATAACTCCGGCTCCTAGAACGCCTGTATCTGTCATAATCATCATAACGTGAAGAACTGTACACATTCCTTCCTTCCTTGGCTTTCATTTGATTTGGTGCTAGAAAATACACAGAACAGAAATATTTAGAAATAATAAAAAAATACTATTTCTACCTTCTCTTATACAAAGGAAAATGTGTTTGAAATGTTTTAGAGATGCTTCTAGTTTCAGTATGAGATACTGACCTACAAAGTAATTTTGCCTTGGGTCAAAGGCTGGGTGTTTAGCTCAGTGGTTCTGCCACCTACCTCAAAAGTCAAGGTCCCAAGTTTGATCCCCGGTACCAAAAAAACACAAACAAAAAACCCCCCTCAATTTTCTCTAAGTTGGGTCTAGGCCTTGACTATTAATCTAGGAAAACATTTATTTCCAAGGACATGAACAGAAGACTGATTTATGTTAAAATGGTACAGCGGCTGGGGACTTAGCTCAGTGGTTACGCACCACCTGCCTCACAGCGCAAGGACCCGAGTTTGATCCCCGGTACCAAAAACAAGAAAAAAAAAAAAGGTACTATTACCTCCCCCCATGAGTGTTTTGTTTTTTCTTATCTTTCTTTTCTCAGTTTAAGCCTCAAAGTGCTGCCATTACAGGCATGTACCACCACACCTAGCTTGTTTATATGTCTTCTCCCAATCTACTTTGTTGATCAAGATGTGCCAGTTACTTTGGACTATAGAAATCTGTATTGTAGATTTTTTTAAAAATCCTAATTTGTCTTATGAACAATGTGCAGCAACAAAATGCAATGATAGGGCCGGGGATTTAGCTCAGTGGTTTTGCTGCCTGCTGGGCAAGTGCAAGGACCAGAGTTCAATCCCCGGTATCAAAAAAAACTCAAAAACAACAAAATGCAATGACAATGCAGTCCTAAGAGACAATGACATAGAAAAGCAGAGGGGAACTAACACTTATGAATCCCTTATACTGTATATACCTACACTATTGGCCTTCAACTTTTATTCAATCCAATAAAGCAGATAATTTATGAACAGGTATGTGTAATATATAAACATAGCAAATATCCAGGAGCCCCTTACCTAATTCATAAAGTAGAGAATTATTAATAGCTTTTTTTTTATATACTGGGGATCAAACTCAGGACCTTGACTTAAGGCAGGAGCAGTGCCACTAGCTAAATCCCCCATCCTTTTTTTTTTTTTGGTACCAGGGATTGAACTCTGGTCCTTGCACTTGCACAGCAGGCGACGAAACCACTGAGCTAAATCCTGGGCCCCCATCCTTATCATTATTTTTATTCATACATGTTTGTAATACACAATGATTATATTTATTGTGAGGAGTTGATACATGTACATAACACATCTTAATTCTTTTTTTTTTGGTACCAAGGATCGAACTCGGGTCCTTGCGCTTTCAAGGCAGGCAGCAGAACCACTGAGCTAAATCCCCAGCCCACTTAATTCTTTTTTTAATCCCTACCTCTTCCCTCCCTCTCTGCTCCTTCCATCTTTTGGACCCCTTTCCATTTGCAAAAGCTATCTTCATATTTTAGCCTGGTTTCTTTTAGGCAGTATATCAGAACTTACTGTAAGGATCATAATGTGACAATATGAAGCCTATATATAGCTATGTTTTGTTTTAGTTTTTTGAGACAGGGTTTCACTGTGTAGTCCAGACTGGCCTCGAACTCATGGCAATCATCCTGCCTCAGCCTCCTGAGTGCTAGGATTACAGGTGTGTAGTACCATGCCCGGCTGGAAGCCAGTTTTTTTTTTTTTTTGGATACCAGTGATCGAACTTGGGACCTTGTGCTTGCAAGGCAGGTGGCGGAACCACTGAAATAAATCCCTGGCCCAATAACTCTTACTCTTTTCAGCACTATTTTAATCTTTTAGTTCTTGGCCAACATAAAATAATGTTTGAGCCAGAATTCAAACCCAGGTCTAACTGTCCTGTCTCATCAATTTGTAGCTAACATTTAACTGCACAATAAAAATCAAGTTCTGGGCCGGAGATTTAGCTCAGTGGTTTCGCTGCTTGCTGCGCAAGCGCAAGGACCCGAGTTCGATCCCCGGTACCAAAAAAAAAAAAAAAAAAATCAAGTTCTATTCTAGCTTTAGACAGCCTTTCCTACTCTACTTCTATTGGCCCATTTGAATAGTCCTGCAGGCATATAATTACCCAATTATACTCTGAAGATCTTTTTGGAGAAATGGCTCAAGAGATCCAAAACTTTACAACATTTATCTCTCTCAACTCTATCCTCAGTGTATTAAACATGCTATTGCTGATATTACTGACCAACTTTCTGTAGAGTCCAAACACATTTCAGTATTCTGATCTCCACATAATCTTTACACCTACAGTATCTGCAAACTTTGTAATCTACTTGAGAAAATATGAAGTATTCAAGACAGTCTTCCTTAAAAACAATGCGAACACACAAATTGCAAATACTTCAGGGAAATCCCAAAACATTGTTCTACAATGATATATCCAGATCCGCCGCCTGCCTCACAAGTACAAGGTTCTGAGTTCAATCCCAGGTACCAAAAAAAAAAAACAAAACACAAAGATATACCATACATGTTAGGAATAAGGGTACTTACTTTTCCGATCCCCCTGTGCAAACTGTATTTCAATCTGACGTCCACAAATCCATTTTCTGTCCAAATTATGCAAAGCATCTTCAGCGTCACGAACATCCTCAAATGTGCTAAATGTTAAGGGGCTTGGGAATTTTTGCAAACTTTGATAATAAAGTTCAGTTGGTAAATCTGGAACAATTTACAGTCTCCCAATATTGTTGTAGAAAATCAAGCAGACTGTACTTACTACTTGGTTGATTCAGCCATTAATACTTAATAGCATGAAAGTACTTGTGATTTCCCAAAGCATGTATTTTAGAACACACATGAATATATGTTGTATTAAGATGTGTTAGAACTGAATCACCAAGTTATCCTATTAAACAATATTCCTGAGTTTTAAGAATTAACTTTATGAGACAAGTCGATCGATTCCATGTTGGGTGCTAAAAAAATTTCTTAAACCCAAAATACTATTTCACATATTTGTTTCAAGTGAAAAAACAAAAAAAACCCACCAATAGTTCTTGTGTAAGCAAGCAGCATATGCCTTACCTTACAAAGATGAAAGCATCAACTTCAAGTTTATTTTGTAGGTTTTTTTTCAGATACATCTAATACTATTGTGTAGCTGTCTTCCTTGCACTGCACAGGGAAAACAAGCATGCTAGCCACATGTGGGTATCAAGACAGAATCAAGCAATATGCAAACACTATGCCAAATGCATATTACATCCATGTGCAGACTATAATAGCATGCTATCAACAAATAACAGACCACCATAAGGACTCCTAGACTGGAACGCCCTAGACACACGATACTAAATAGCTTCCTGCCAACAAGCGAGTTTGGGATTAGATTTTATAAGGTAATATTCACTAGTCTGAAACTGTTGGCATGAATTTTTGATCTGAGATGCTAAGCTAACCAGCCCCCCCCCCACATGCTAGCAATATTACTATCAGGATCCTTGGGTTTACAGTAGTTATTCTGTCCAAGTATAGCTCCCTTTCTAAAACCATCATTCCAATAGAAGCCAAGTACACATTCAAGGAAGTATTTGATATAAAGGTTTAGAAAGAGAGCTAGGTTAACTTTCTGTGTGAACTTTCTTTCCTAAAAATTGCTTGTTTACTTTTGTTTTTTGGTACTGGGGATTGAACTCAGGTCCTTGCGCTTGCACAGCAGGTGGCGAAACCACTGAGCTAAATCCCCGGCCCCTGTTTACTTTTATTTCTTACATCTGAGAACCAAGAGGGCAGATTTGGAGAGTTGATTTAGGAAACACCCTCAAAGTGACACATTCAAGACTGATATTAGTGTTCTTTTATTAGAGACAAAATGGTCTGTGGTGGCCTCACCAGACCTCCCACTTTTTGTGCCAGAAGGAATTGAGGACTGCAGCAGGTTTCCAGCTCTCTCTTCTGGAGGTCATTATGTGTAGATTAAGTGGAAGGAGAAGCTTTCCCAAGTCTTAACCAGGGTTTCAACATGAAAAGGCTGATGGAAGAATATAGGACCATGAATACATAATTAAACATTCCTCAAGGTTAATACAGTTGGATTCTAAACTAAATAAAAGGAATGTTTACTTAATGAGTACACAACTTTGTTACTACAAGAGACAGAATATAATAATTTAAGAAAGAATTTACATCAAGAGGGGTAAAAATTATTCGTAAGAACAAAGTATCCCGAGGCTACCCTCAAAAACAGAACCCTGATCTGGATGGCAAGGTTCTACACTTTACCTGTTAAGTCAGAGATAGGAAGAGAAGACCAACTGCAAACAGACTTAGGTAAAAGAGACAGAAGCAGTAGGGGCAGCCAAGTACTTTGAAGCCAGTCATGGAGTAACTGTACTTTAGGATTCTTACAAACATGTAATGATAAGCCTGTAACATTTCTTTTTAACTATTTTAAGACCACAGTAAGAGTTACTGAACACGTATAACAAATAATCACTCTCTTTTGGATTCCATAAAATCACCCTTTTTTGCCTCAACTATAACAACAGTCAAACTACTGATCTTCATTTCTGGGCACCCCCAAACCAGGTAATATTGGAAGCCAGAATCCAGATTTAACTATTATCATCATCACTGTAACAGTTTGAGAACTAATTCCCGCAACTGTCTTTGATCATTGGCCCTTGAGTGATCGTTAGCCTTTCTTCATCAGTTTCAGGAGGACTCTAACTCTGAAAAGTTGCAAGAGGTCTTAGCAGCAAGAAATTTGAACAGCAAGAATTTTCCTGGCCTCAAGTTCACAGCCTAAATCTTTTGTTTTTGTAGGAAGATGATCTCAAAGAATAGAGGCAGTAATGTCATCTGAAACTAGGTCAAGAATCAATTTCCATAGATCCTGATCAGGTACCATACCAGGGAGAAGGCCTTCTGCAACCCATTCAGGGTCAACTAATCACATGTGCTAAAGCAGTCCAGTGCCAGCAGGCTACAGGCTACACACAGCTAAGCGCCAGAAGTTAGAAATTTGTGTGTGTTCCCAGCAGCCATCTAAAAAAATCTATATGGCATTTCTAGTGGTTCTGACCTTGAGAGACCACCAGAGCTATTTCTAAATAGATCCCAGTCCATGCACCTGTCTTCCCTTTAAGCAGGGCTGTGCGCCTTGATTCTACAACCTCATGCTACTTGGAAGAGTCTCTGACCACCTGCACCAAACCAAGATATGCCAAATTTAAGCTTAACAATGTTACATCCTGTTGTAATTTAACTTGATAGGCTAAGAGAAAGTGCATTTATACAAGACCACAATCAGAACATCAAAGCCCACACAAATCAAGTCACAGGTTTTGTCACTAGACCAAACCAGAATAATTTTGAAAATTAACTGCTTACAAAACATTAAAAAAAAAAAAAAAGAAAGAAAAGTTATTCTGTAGGATACATCAGGTATGACTCCTTTAATCTTGGCCATCATTCAACTTCATCTTGACCTTTAACTCTTTAAGTGCTTGTCAGAAGGACTTGTCATGAGATGCTTGGCCAAATATGACAGATGGCTTTATCTTTAACTTTGAAAAACAACCTTTTCCCCCTCTGTAGATAAAGCGAGGCTTTGTCTCCCATTAGGCTTGTCCTTCTTCCAGCTTTTCTTTATTTTTTCTTTTCCCAAACTCTCCCTTCTCTTCAAGCCTGATCCTTAAGAGGTCTTTGGCTTGTCTACTTGCCTTAAGTGTTGAACTCTACTCTAAAGGTTCTTTCATGCTTTCTCTTTGGGGTCGCCATAACTGTACAGCTTTACATTCTGAGGTAACAACAGAGGACAGCAAATTAGGGGACAATATTAAAGAAGTTTACCTCATTGTTATACAATTTGTTTTTGATCAAGTGATTCAAATGAACAAACAAGAATACTAAACTTTAATTGCTAAGCACAAGAACATACTAAGTTTTAATTTGACTTACACATTAAAGGTGGTAGCAACCAGAATGAATTCAAAATCACATTATAATCACTGATTCCCATTTCAGCAACATGAATGGGAACTTAAATATTTAACTATTTTTGGATTAATGGAATAGTAAGAGCAATGTGAGTCAGAATTAATTTTCAAAAATTTGAAGACACAGACATTTATTAGAGGACAAAAATAAACTACTTTTTAGATGTTACCACTTACATAAACTTGAATTTGAAACTTCACCCCTCACTAATCAGTCATCTGAAGAAAGGATATTGAACATAAGCAAATCCTCTTGGACGACGAGTGTAGAAATCGAGTGGAACATACACATCAACTATAGGACCATAGCGGCCAAATTCACGCCGTAAATCTTCAGACCTAAAATATCATAAAAGGAACTCAAATTTTATGTTCATGCCCTTAAAAATTTCATTGTAAGCAATAATTATCTTTCAATAACTTAATAATGAAAGGGACTCATTAACAGTGTAAACCCATGGGTTTCAGCCATATCCCTCCCCTGGCTGACTTGAGACAAGCCTTCAGAACCTCAACAGTAAGAGCCAACTTTAAGAACATAAAAAAACGTAAAGGACGAGAGTGATGGTGAAAGTCTGTAACACCAGCTCTCTGGAAATCTCGGGCAGAATGATCACAAGTTCAAGCCCAGCCTGGGAAATATGCTAGACCCTGACTCAAAACTAAAAAGAGGAAGGGGATGGTAGTGCAATGTAGTAGGAAGGTCCTGGGTTCAATCCCCAGCACTGTCATCAAAACAAAACAAAACACAACTGTAAAGGCAATGGACATGGGATGCACCTCTATAATCCCGGCTATTCGAAAGGCTGAAGGAGGAGGATGGCAAGTTCCAGGACAGTATGGGCAACTTAGCAAACCCTGTCTCCAAATAAAAAGGAAGTAACTTGCTTTCCCTGGGTATAACACTCAGCTACCCAACCCCAACCCCAGCAAGCAAAGGCTATGAATGTGTTGTTTTGATAAAAGAAAGCTAGGATCTAAGAATATGAAAAATTTAGGGCCAGGGATTTAGCTCAGTGGTTCCGCCGCCTGCTTCACAAGCACAAGGACCCGAGTTCGATCCCTAGTACAAAGAAAACCCAAACCATATATATATATATATATATATATATATATATATATATATATATGAAGAATATGGAAAATTTAAAATGTAGCCCGCAAGTCTACTAGTCTTTTAATGCCAAACAGATTTATAAGGATACTAATACAATTTTTTAAATTTACAACCTTCGTTTTTCAAAAAAAGGTAGGGCAGCACTAGGCTGAATTTTTTTCTTTACCACATCAACTCTAGTACTCAAAAACCACCAAGCACTTTTTTTTTTTTTGGTACAGGGGATGGAACTCAGGATCTTGCGTCTGTGAGGCAGGCAGTGGAACCACTGAGCTAAGCCCCTGGCCCCCAACCACTTATTTTTACAGCAAAATCGTAGCAACAAGGCTAGACAACAGATAAAAAAATTAAAGCCACAAGCATATCTTAACTCCTTAAAGTGTCAAAATGACAAAGGTGAAAATTTCCTACACTCTACAAGAATTGCCATTGCCTTTTCCCCTACTTACAACAGAAACTACAGAGGTAAATCACACAAAACCAAAAAACATTCCTTATCTTGTTTGTCAATTATCTGTGAAATAAGAAAAGCCTCATCACGTGACAATGTCGCGCCCCGCCCCCGCAAAAATTCTGAGGGCAATTCGAAGCAATTACGGGAATTGCTGAAAACAAAGCCATTTTAAAGTACTCTCGAAAACCTAATTTAGTTACCAATATCCTAATAGGAGACTTTCTCAACTCCCCTCTTCTCAAAGGGTAACCAAAATTTCCAGAAAATGGAAGAACTACTCCATGTAACGGGAAACGTTTCATTTCTCAAATCTCAACTTTCCTCTTTTACCAAAATCTCTACAAGATTAAACATCATACATTAACGGCAAAAAAAAAAAGGCAGTAAACGCTTCTCCATGTTTCTCTCCCTCGATCCCGTTATTTTGTTGCAGTTTATTTTTAAGGAAACGATGTTTTTCTGGGACGAGGGGGTGTGCACGCTACAGCACAACGCCCGAAGGGGCCGGCCACGCGGAGGAAGGGGAGGGCCTCGGAGCTCCTGCCACGCGGCCCGCGCGCCCTGGTGCCGTCCTCATTCCCGCGCGGCAGCCGAAGCGGGCGGCGCGGCCTAGCTCGCGAACCAGAGCGGGCGCAGGCCCCGCCATCTTCGCCCAGCCCCTCCCCCCGGCCCAGAGCCGCCACTCTGTCCTCTCCGCGCAGGCCCCGAGTCCCTGCCCTGTGTCCTACCTAGTGTCGTCGGCCACATTCCTGACGAACAGAGACGTGTTCGGGGGGCGCAGGTAGCGGGACATGACGGTGGCGTCAGTCTCGGTCTGGAGCACTAACGGGCTCGGCAAACCGTCCGCGACTACAGCGGCGGCACCTCAGACACACGACCAGAGGGCTCCGCTACAGCAACCACGTCCTCTCGCGAGACTTCACTCCCGCCTCCACTCCCCCACTACGCAAAGCTCGCACCGGCAACGGTTGGTTCTCGCGAGACTACCAGCCTTGGGCCTGCGCACGCACAAGGCTGGAGCGCGCTCTGCAGCCTCGGTGTCATGCATTTACTTCTGACACTGCCTCTTCCCTTCCCCCTCAGCCTCTTTCTTTCTTAAACTTTCATTTTCCCGCCCTTTTCTGCCTTGCATCTCCCCTCCCCCAACCTAAACTGATGTTTTAGCCTCTATTCTAGATTTAAGGAGAGTTTAAGACGTTATAATCCGTAGAGACCGTCTTAAAATTCCCTGTCTGGTCCAAGTTAGGTCCAGCCGTTTATTAGATCCCTGACCAGAAAGAAGAATTTACAGCTTCTGCTGTGTGCAAAGGAAGGAGGTGTGCGACCTTGCAGAGGGCTAGGCCTGACTCCCCAGTGCTTTCTGGACATCCGGGGCGCCCATTCCCTGTGCCTTTGCCAGCTGTCCTGTCCTCTCCGCTTGTCCTTGCAGTTTCCTCCTCAGAAAAGCCAATCCCCTCTTTCAGTCTCAGCCTTTATTATGTGTACTGAATTTGTTCCTAACAGCTTCCAGAGTATGCAAAGTTCCTGTATTTCAGGAGTTTTATTTTTGTTTTTTTGGCGGTGCTAGGAATGGAACCTAGGATCATGCTTATGCTAGGTAAGCACTACAACTGAGCTACATACCCAGCATTCCCTCTCCCCTTTTAATGTAGGTTATAATGTTTACTGAATTAGATTTTACAGTGGAGAAAATTTAAAAACAACACACATTCCACCACTCTTCATCAAACATTACATAGCCTTTGGAAAACTACATTTATGGAGAGTGTGGATGAGCATGAAAAATATTGCTCATGGAATGTTTGGTATCGTTTTCCCCTCTGACATCCCCTTCATCTACTCCCTGATCTGTCAGACATCCTGTTAGAATACCTCTGGTGTGTCTTACAAGGCCAAGTACATAGCAAAAATTCAGGTGCTGTTTAAATAAATGAGCTTTCCTTTTTATGGAAAGGCCACAAAACCATTATTTTTGCATCAATCAGCTTCCAAGGCACCTGTGACCACATAGGTGGTGATGGTCTAGCTCTGTAACAGAGCTATTGTTTTTTTGTTTTTTGTTTGTACCGGGGATCAAACTTGGGTCCTTGCACTTTCGAGGCAGGTGCTGGAACCACTGAGCTAAATCCCCAGCTATTGTTTCTATATTTATGTTTCCTGAGAAGCTTTGGGAACTTAGTTTATTAAAACTATTATAGACAGCTAAGTTAGGTAGAAATATAGGCAGTCAGACAGGGCTAGGCTCTCAAAGGAATCAGTACAGAAAATGAGAACACATTATAACTGTGATTGAAGGTGCATCTGTCAAAGGCTAAGCCTCAAGATAGAGATGAAATGACCAGGCCGACATGACTCTCCAAGAGATAAGCAATAAATTAATGATTATACTATAACTGGTATCACCTGATCCAGTAAGGTCTAGCGAGACATCAGATGAGTGACCAGGACCTGATCCATCCTTTCCCGAAATCATTCTTGTTCTTTCCATGTGTGCTTGCTACATGACTTGCTTCCCCATTGGATCAATATTACCTAAGCAGCTATACTTGTAATCTTATTGGTTGATCATAGTTTTGACTCAAATTGTATTCACTTCGTGATTTTGTGCTTACTTCATGATTTTGCTCTTTAAAACTTCCTCTCTGAAGTGGGGTCCACAGCAATCCACTTTTGGGCCTCCTTCTGTCATTCAGGAGCTAGCTCTCTCAATAAATTTGTTCTACTCTTAACCTCTGTTGTTCCTTAGAATTCATTCTTTGATTTTTGGGAACACAAACTCAGTGTATCTGACAGACAGCAGGTTCACCTTTTTCAAAATGTTTATTGAGGGCTGGGGATTTAGCTCACTGGTTCTGCTGCCTGCCTTGAAAGTGTAAGGACCCAAGTTTGATCCCTGATACCAAAAAAAAAAAAATGTTTATTGGGCTGGTGATTTAGCTCAGTGGTTTTGCCACCTGCTGTGCAAGCACAAGGACCCGAGTTCGATCCCTGGTACCAAAAAAAAAAAAAGAAAAAGTTTATTGATTATGTATTATATGTCAGATATGTTATTGCTTAAATTCAATGATTAACACATATTTCTAGAGGGAGAGGCAACAAAAGAAGTAAACAACTAAAGTAGTTGCAGATTTGTCACATGGAAGAAACAGTAAAGAGATGAGGCTGTAGCTCAGCAGGTAGAACATTTGCCTAGCATGCTCTGGGTTCCATCTCCACTGTGTGTGTGTGTGGACAGTAATATGATAGGGTTATTTTATTTTATTTTTTTAATTTTTGGGGGTACTGGGGATTGAACTCAGAACCTTGCGTTTCCGAGGCAGTTATGACACCATTGAGCTAAATCCCCAGCCCTGTTTTGTTTTGTTTTTTGAGACAGAGACTCACTGTGTAGATCAGGCTGGTCTTGAACTCACTATGATCCTCCTGTCTCAGCCTCCCAAATCCCTGGGATTACAGGTGTGTGCCACCATACCCAGCTCCAGGGTTTCTTTTTTATTTCTTTCTATTCTCAAACCTCCAACATAAGCTTCACCCTCATTTTTGGCTAATTCCATCAATAAAATAAAAACAAGGGACTTGCTCATTTTCTTGGCACCAACTTCACCCCCATTTCCTGCAGTGGGGGACCATCTCTCCTCCTGAAAGCCATCTCCCCTGGGCACTGTGCTCCTTAAGTTACCTTTTCTCCTACATCAACAATTTCCCATCTCTTGTGAGTCATTTCCATGAGCATAAAAAGCATTTGGGGGCTGGGGATTTAGCTCAGTGGTTCCGTCGCCTGCCTCACAAGCGCAAGGTCCTGAGTTTGATCTCCGGTACCAAAAAAAAAAAAAAAGCATTTGGCAGTAACTCTCATCTTAAATGGTGCCAGCTCTAGTGTGTTGGAACCAAAATTGAGCCAGATAGTCTGATTTCAGAATCTGATTCTTCAATGCCACAGAACATCTACCTACTCTTCTTAGAAAGTGGATTAGGGAGGGGCCAAGGATTTAGCTCAGTGGTTCCACTGCCTGCCTTGAAAGCATCAAGGACCTGAGTTCAATCCCTGGTATGGAAAAAAAAAAAAAGAAAGTGGATTAGGGAGCCAAAGTTGATTAAGAAGTGCTTGGAAGGGGTGTTGGGGCTGAATAAAAGGTAAGATCTTTTGCTTGAAAGGAATTATAGAATTACCAAAGCTACTGTCTTTCTTAGTCTGGTTATCTAGGCTAACACATGATAATTTGTACCCTGTAACAAAACAGCAAAGACAAAAACTGAAGAGTCAGTAGACAATGCAGCTTTACAGGTCACCCTGCCCAAGGATTTCAGTTATTTTTTACTTCTTGTTTATACAAATACCAATCAGAAACCAAATTTTTTAAAAAAAGAAAACAAATTTATAAAACCATGCCTCAAGGGCTATTAATACACTTTGCAATACGTGATGATTACATTCCTCCCAGGGAATTGGTCATGTACATAACACATCTTAATCTTTTTTCCTTCCCCTTTCCTTCCTGTTTCTTAGGCAATTTCGTATGTACTTAGTGTAAGTCCTGGTGCTCCTATAGAAACCCTCCATTCTTTCTAAGACTGTGTATGAGAAATATTGTGGGGACTCAGCATTGATTTTTGTACCTGACAGGTTGGCAGCAACTATATTAGTCTTGGTAAGTGGGAGTTTATGCCAGTGGTCAGAAAACTACAGGCCTCAGTTTTGATGGCAGGCTATTTTTATATGATTTGCATATTAAGAATGCATTTTGTAGTTTCAATTGGTTGAACATAACCAGAAGAAGATGAATATTTCTTGTTATTACTTGATTTCTTCTGATGAATCTTTCTTTCTTTTTTTACTTTTTTTTTTTTTTTCCAGTACTAAGGATTGAATCGAGGACTTTTACACTGAGCTATACCCACAGCCCTTTTTAAATTTTAAAGCAAAGTACACTAAGTCACTAAGTTTCCCAGGCTGGGCTTGAACTTGTGATTCTCCTGCCTCAGCCTCCCAGAGTGCTGGCGTTAGAGGCATGTGCCACTGTATCTGGCTTGAACCTTGAAAATGTTATTCTGAGTGGGGAAAAAAAAGCCAGACATAAAAGGCTATATATTACATAATTCCATTTATGTGAAATATCCAGATTAGGAGACTCCACAGAGAAAACATATTGGTGGTTTCCAGGGGATGTGGGGAAAGAGGAAAACAGGGAGTAACTGCTCAGTGGGCTTACAGTTTCTTTCAGGGTGATGCAAAAGTTCTGGAACTAGATGCACAACACTGTGAAGACACTGCTTCTGTACTGTACCCTTCAGAATGACTAGGGGCGGGGATTTAGCTTAATGGTTCTGCTGCCTGCCTTTCGAATACAAGGTCCCAAGTTTGATCCCCAGTACCAAAAAAACCAAAAAAACAAAAAAGCAAAACAAAAAAACCCCCAGAATGGCTAACATGGTAAATTGTATATATGTACTTTACCACAACTTTAAAAAAAGAAAGTTAGAAAAATAGGAAAGAAGGTTAATTACTGAATATCATACCATATGATATAATATCATATCATAGGTTAGTTTTTATTAAAACTAATGTAGCTGGGCATGGTGCCACACACCTGTAATCCCAGCACTACAGAGGCTAAGACAGGAGGATCACTGTGAGTTCAAGGCCAGCCTGAACTACAGAGTGAGACCCTGTCTAAAAACAAAACAAAACAAAAAAATAAAAAACCCCTAGCCTTTATTTTTTGTACATCTTGTATATATAAAAATTGAATTCCTGGGCTGGAGATTTAGCTCAGTGGCACCACGCCTGCCTCACAAGCACAAGGTCCTCAGTTCAATCCCTGGTACCGAAAAGAAGAATTTAATTCCTAAGTGTTGAATATGAACAAATAATATGAACAACAAAAAATTTTTTTTTAGACAGTCTCACTTATGTAGTTCAGGCTGGCCTTGAACTCACTATGTA